TGTTCACCAGGATCCAGCTCCGATCTCACCAGCTACCTTACCGCTGTAGGGAAATTGCTGAAAGCAGTTCACAGGAGCATTCTCAAACAAAAGCTGACCCCATGTACATGAGGAGGAATTGACTCATTGAGTGTATTTAAGACAAAGATAGTTAGGCTCTTGATTAGTAAAGGGATCAAGGGTTAGAGGGAGAAGGCAGGAGAATGGGGTTGAGAAACAGATCAGCCATGATCAAATGGCAGAGCAGATGCAATGTGCTGAATAGCCTAATTCTGCTCCTATATCTTATAGTCTTTTTAGGGCAATCACCAAAATCTTGACAGAGCTGATAGGTTTTTAAGGAGCTTAGAGAAGGAGAGAGATGGAGATGGAGAGGTTTTGTGAAGGAATTCCAGGACTTTAGGCCCTAGGCAGCTGGAAGCACGGCTGCCAATTGTGAAGCAATTAAAACTGGGATTGAACCAGGGGCTGGAATTTCAGGAACGCAGAAATATTGAAGGGCTGTAGGGCTGGAGGGTGTTACAGAGGGATAGGGCCGTGGAGGGCTAGCCTCAGAATTGCAAAGTCCGCCTCAAAGTTGTACTCATCAAGCTGCAGCTTTGCACGGATATATGTTGTGAGGGAGAAAGACAGAGAGAAAATCACATTGAGGCAGAGACAGAGTGAGGCAGACATAAACACATATTCAGGGCAACACAGGATGAAACATCTGGTTCTGAATACAACACCCAAACAAATTTCCCCCTTTGTTTTCAGCAAGGCCTTTGGGAATGATAAATAAGTTTGCAGTTGATGCCGGGTATTTGAAAGGTGAGGAAGAAGATCTTAGATTACAGGAGGATATAGATGCATTGGTCAGAAGGGCAGCAGATCAGTGGCAGATGGAAGTTAACCATGATACAAGTGAAGTAATGCACTTTGGAAGAAGGAACAAGACAAGGGATTTTTGAAGAAGGGTCCCGACCTGAAACATTAGCTTTCCTGCTCCTCCGATGCTGCCTGGCCTGCTGTGTTCCTCCAGCTCCACACTGTGTTATCTAGTACTCAGTGAATGGTAGGACACTAGGAAGCTCAGAGGAACAGAGGCATCTTGGGAAGTTTATCCACAAATCCCTGTAGGGTAGTTACGAGGACATATGCCTTTATCAGTCCTGGCATAGATTATAAGAGCAGGGCGGTTATGTTGGAGCTGTACAGAATTTTTAAGGCCACAGCTGGAATACTGTGTGCACGAGGTGATGGCCTAGTGGTATTATCGCTGGTCTCTTAATCCAGAGACCCAGATAATGTTCTGGGGACCTGGGTTTGAATCCCACCCTGGCAGCTCATTGAGTCTACATCAATGCTCCAGACAGCATCCCACCCACACCCAGCCTCGTGCCCCATCCCCATTTTCACTGTGCCTGATCCACCCAACCTGGGCAATTTCCCATGGCCAGTCTACCCTAACCTACACAGCTTTGGGCTGTGGGAGAAAACCAGGGCACCCACGTAGACACAGGGAGAACATGCAAACTCCACACAGACAGTCACCCGAGGCTGGAATCAAACCCGGGTCCCTGGTGCTGTGAGGCAATAGTGCTAACCACTGAGCTACCGTGCTGTTTTGAACAGGAAGGGAATTCCATCCAGACTAAATGAAGCCTGTCTGCAAGCACAGGCTGTGCCCTGAGATGCGATCTGACTCTCATCAGTCCTCTGTCCTACTTTTATTCCAAGCAGGCTGCCGGATTGTGAATGAGGGTTTGGGAATACTGAGGCTATCTCCTTGTCTCCTCCATCCATTTCTTTCTCTTGATATTTCTTTCCTTCTTCACCCCTGGCCTGGGCATGGACATGGTAAGGCATCCTCTTGGCTCAGCCCGGCCCTCGGCGGTCTCTCAGCCCAGTCCTCAGTGGTCTTGGCCCGGTGTGGGCGGTCTCTCGGCCCGTTGTGGACGGTCTCTCGGCCCGGTGTGGGCGGTGTCTCGGCCCAGTGTGGGCGGTGTCTCGGCCGGTGTGGGCGGTGTCTCGGCTGGTGTGGATG